TGGAAAGGCGGGGTAAAAATAAAATTTATTATTATTATTATTATATCACTTTTAATAGTATAGACAACCCTCAGAGTCACTGCAAATCTGGAAAATCTGGGGCATCCCAGATTTTACTGTATGTGTATACAACCACATGATTTCAGCAATATAAATGGGGAGGGGCTACTATTGTTGAACAAATGGGAGTCAGAAATCCCTGCCAATCTACTATAAAGCACCAGGAAGTCTACTGGAAGAACTATATTTACCTTCTCATGTGTTAGAAAACCCATAGTCATTCTTATAAATTACTTTACTCTTTTAAAATTCACAATTTAACAGTGTAAATCTACTCTATGAAGAATGAAGTAAGAAAAAAAAAAAACATAGTCCACACATTAGGAAGGTTAAAAAAATCTCCATAAACTTTCCCAAAATTTGGTTTTATAAATTAAATGTAGGTATTAAATGACATGAAACTGGTGAGCTGAGATGGAATGATAATTATCCAATATCTTAGCTGTCAGGTAAATGTATTGTTCTTATTGCATTTATTAAATGTTTCAACTATGGGTAACTTACCTGATTTCTTTTATATTATTATTTCTTAGTGTCCTCTGAAATGCAAGGTACAACCTTTCAAACTGCAATGAGAAAGGTAGCATTTAATAATTTAATTCAAGGGGCATTTAATACCTCAATAGCCATATTGGTACTAAAAATATGCTAATTTGATTTTTTGAACAACAGAATTAAAGATGGAAATAATCTGAACCCCTGCCTCATTTCATATAAATAAAACCACACTACATATTAAGTAGAGGAAGATATTTAAAAAGAAAGACCCCAATCCAACGATTTAGTGCATGTACCTATGTACTTTATGCAACACCTGAGCCAGATTTTGGACCAACTCAGCTTCTGCACAATCTTCAAAAGCAGTTTCACAGAGTGAAGTGTTGTAAACTGACCTGGAAGTGCCTCAGAGATGAATGCCACAGGTCAAATCTGGCTTCTTCAAGAAAGGCACTCCCAGTCACTCCAGACACCTGAACCATCTAGCAGTCCTATTCCCTGAAACATCCCCTAAGCTGCAAACCCAGCATTTAAAATGGAGAATAAACCCACCCAACAGTGACCAGGATAGAGGGAGTTTATCCTATAATGGCAGAACAACGCACATATACACACCTGCTTGGACCATGCAGGCACTGATAGTCCAAAAGTACCATTTATTCCTGGATCAACATGACCAAAAGTACATTTATTGCTCGAATCTGATGATTCCCAACTAACAATACCTCTGTTCTGAATGCACTGAGATATAATGCCTGTTTTCATTTTATTGGAGTTCTATGTTAAAGGAACTACATCTCCATATGGATTAGGAAGATCACACAACAACTCTCTACACAAACATAATGTACAGTTTTGGAAAATCATTATTATGGAAGTATACACAATTCAGACAACTAATATAGCTTGTGCCAGTCCCAGATGTTACTGTTCCAACAACTCAGTAATGGTATTTTTTAACTTGGCTATACTTACATGTAATTGTGGGTTAAACAAGATGCAACGCAAATTGTATCCCCTGAATATACTCTATTACCCTTCATCCATCCCAACTCAGTGATTAATAATATTTATAATGTAGTTCCTACACCCATCCCATAAGCTGCTCATTCACTTCTGTGAAGGAAGGCAATTTTTGTCTGCATTGGCTCTGTCAGTTAAAAAAAAAAAAGAATAGATGGCACACACAAAACAACAGAGCAAATGGAAAGTTTCCATGTGAAAATCTTTAAATAGGAGAATATTACAACATTTATTACAATAATATTTAAAATAAATCACTGTGTAATTGCCTTATTGACATCCCTTATTCAACTTCCTTACAAACTTCCAGGAATGTGTCATAAGTCTGAGGAAGTTTAACTTTACCAGAGTTTAGCCATATGTCACAGCTGTTTGTGCTATTGTGTCAGTTGACAATCCTCCACACTTTCTTCAGGTCATATACACACTTCTAATCTGCACTGCAGAAATAGTCCAGTTTGACACCGCTTCAGTTGCCATGGCTCAGTGCTATGGATTTCTGGGATTTGTCTCTTTTTGAGATACATAACCCTTCATTGTCAGAGAACCCTAGTGCTACAACAAACTATAAGAAACCCAGAATTCCACAGGATTTAGCCATGGCAGCTAAAACGGTTTCAAAATGCATCATTTTTTTAGTGCAGATTAGAGCACAGAACTCAGGACAATTCTTTCCCACCAATTTCTTTGGTATCGTATGCCAAAATCAAAGAATGGAAGGGGACTCTGTGTGGAAAACATGCCACCATCAGACTACTCTATGGCTTCCCACTTGCTACTTCTGGGTCCTGGACATCCTGCTCTTTGCACTGCCAATGCCAGGAAAAGTGCTCTTCTCTCCTAGAAGTCCTCAAAGCAAAGCCTTGCTCTAGTGCAATTTTACCCCCTTTTAAGGTTTTTGTTGAAGCAAAAGTGATTATCTAGATTTTCACGGCTGAAAAAAGTCATTTGAAAATGTGCTGAATTCACATTCTCAGTTGAAATGTGGCTGACGACAGGCCTGAGGGACTTTCCACTTTAACTTCCATGAGACCATCCTACAAAATCCTGGGCTTTGGAGTTTAGATGAGGCACTAGAACTCTTGGCCTAAGAATGTTAAATAAAAATCTTCAAACTTCAACTTCCATGATTCCATAGGATGGAACCATGGCAATGAAAGAGAACACATAACACTGTAATTGTATAGTGTGAAAGGGCCCCAATGTTGTCCTTTCCTGGTATAGCCTCATCATCTATCTGTGGAATGCACAGATAAGAGTATTCCCAACAGTGGGCTGTTTACACATCTAAGTATTAAGCTTGGTCATTTATAGCTTAATAATTATAGCTTATTGGTAATTTGGTTTTAGCACCAAAGGTCAATTTTATTACATGATTAAAAAAACCAGCATTGCTGTATTGCTGTTTAATAGAATGAAGAGAGGCAGAATGGAAGGTTATGTTGGCTCCAGAAAAGCTGTATTCTTGATCTAGGATGTGTTTTACGTTTGATATAAAAAGAAATGAGCTAATGTTCT